AATTTTTGGTATAGTAGTTGTGACTTATTCACACTATATACATTTGGCTTCCGCAACACTAATTTTTTCTTATACTTAGACCTTTATTACCTGTTAGTTCTTTTGCTTCGATTTTCTTATCAGCTGATCTTGTTGTTGTCGCTACTTATTGTTTATGCTTCCTTCTTTATCTTGTTATGAGCCAAACGTCTATCGAAAATAGCTTTCATACTTTCACAAGGTAGGGATACAACTTGATATTAACCATCCTCCTCAAACCCCACCTATAAAATTATACTGAATTTATTACTATCGTACGAAACAGCCTCTCTATCCTTCCAAAATAGGGGAAGATTGTGTACATCTTACTCTTCATGTACTCCACTTATAAAAAATTATTGAATTTATTGTTGTTGTTGTTGTTGTAGGAATCGTGTATATAACTTAACCTCTTTCTAAATTTTACTTGTAGAGGGAAACTAAAAAAATGATTTAAAATAAAATAAAAGACGGATGCAATAAGTAACCGGTAAGTGGACGGTAGTTAGCTGGTTTGAGGTACACAGTACGACCACAAGTGGCTTAGCTCTGAAGAATAACCGGAAATACCGGTTTTAGGGAATGATTCATTGAACTAACCAAATACATTTAATTTGTAAAAAATAACTAAATTCATATCATATATAATACTACTAAATTTTATTTTATATATATAACATGGCCACATACCTATTATGAAGCAAAGAACCATTCTTTCCTTCTTTTTTTCTTCACTATCTGACCTTAAATTCTCTCTTTTTTCCCCTACTTTTGGTGGGGTTAGCTGTTTTCTTGAAAAAATTGGATTTTTTCAACTGGAATGCAAATTTTGGCTAAAGATCAAATCTGGGTTGTGTTTTTCTTGGTTCAAAATCTGATCTTTTTTGGTTTATTTTGTGGATTTCTTTATTTTGAAGAACAGCAGCAGCTATGCCTACTCTTGTTAATCACAGTGGTGAGTTCATTTTCCTTTTTTATATATTGAAAAAAAAAGTTCTTGATTATTATATTTTTGAATTAATTCTGTATCTTAGATAAAGATGAATTTTTAGGTTTAGTTCCAATGATTTAGTATTTATTATTATGAATATAGTCTATAACTCTGTATAGGTGCATGATTATTGAGATAAATATGAGCATTAATTTACTGTAAATGACAAAAAAGGGAAACTGAATCTATATTAAAAGATGGTAATTTTAATGAAGAAACTGAAAAAAAAATACTAACTGTTTTGGTCTTTGTATCTATAGAATTAAAGATAGGTAATTTAAGTCTGGATTTGCTCATTTTTAATGAGTTCTCAATTCAGTATCTTGATTAAGGATGAACTTTTAGGTTTACCAATGATTTATTTAGAATGAATAGAGTCTATAAATCTGTATAGGTGCATGATTGTTGAGATGAACATGAGCATTAATTTACTGAAATAAAGTATAACTTCTTTGTTTGGCTTGTAATCTAAAGCTATATTTAAAGATAGGTAAGTTTACTGAAGAAAATTGTGGATAAAAAATTAGTACTGTTTTGATCTTTGTATCTAGAATTGTTTTAACTATCTTATCTGAAAATATGTATCTATTAGGTAAATCTACAGCTTCAATTCACATCTGATAATTGTTTATCTGTTCATTTTTTGCAAATAAGATAACTTGGTTATACTTGAAATTTATATGAAAGTTCGTAAAAAATGGCTTGACTGCATATTTGTCAATTTTTTTTTTCTAGAGAAATTTTAGTATGCTATAGCATGTTGATTTGAGGGAAAAGATAGCTGATGATGTTTTTTGCTCTTTGGACTTCAGGTGATGATGAGTTCTATTCTGGTGGACCATTTTGTTCTGCTGAAGTTTACTGCCCTCCTAGGAAGAGGGTGCGCATTAGTAGCCCGTTTGTTGTTGAAGACCGGTCAAAGGATCCATCTCTTGAAATTCTTCCTGATGAATGCCTATTCGAGATCCTTAGAAGATTGTCTGGTGGCCGTGAAAGGAGTGCAGCGGCTTGTGTTTCTAAGCATTGGCTTATGTTGTTGAGTAGCGTGCGGAACTCCGAAATTTGCAGGAGCAAGAGCCATAACAATCTGTCAAGTGTAGAGGAAGTAAAGGGGAATTCAAAAGATACAACAATGATCTCTAAAGATGAAGATCTTGAAGTAGAATGTGATGGATACCTTACTAGGTGTGTGGAAGGGAAGAAAGCTACTGATGTTAGACTTGCTGCGATTGCAGTTGGAACTTCTAGCCGTGGGGGGCTAGGAAAGCTTTCTGTCTGTGGGAGTAACGCTGTTCGTGGTATTACTAATGTTGGTCTATCTGCAATTGCACATGGTTGCCCTTCTCTTAGGGTCCTATCGTTGTGGAATGTTCCTTCTATTGGAGATGAAGGTCTCTTTGCGATTGCAAGGGAATGCAATTCATTAGAAAAGTTGGATCTAAGCCAATGCCCTTCAATTTCCAACAAGGGACTTGTTGCAATAGCAGAGAATTGCCCGAGCTTGACTTCTTTGACAATTGAATCTTGTGCGAATATCGGAAATGAGGGATTACAAGCTATTGGAAGATGTTGCACCAAATTACAGTCTCTTACCATTAAGGACTGCCCTCTTGTTGGGGATCAGGGAGTCGCTAGTCTTCTGTCATCGGGTGCTACAATGTTGACAAAAGTGAAACTACATGGTCTAAACATCACGGATTTCTCGCTTGCT